CCTTTCCATTTTTTCCGCCTACGTAAATCCTCCGCTCTTATGATTCCTGTGATATCTCCATATTGGAGCACTGAAGTTCCGACTAAGCCACACCGGGCGGTTGTCTTGGCTTGTAACATATATCTATCCAACCAACCGGATCACATGCTCCAGACCCGCCCCGAAAAGAAGCCCTTTCTGTCTGGAATCTTCCTGTCAATCAATCATAACGTGGATACAGAGAGTTTGCAGTACGCGGCTCTGGCCCCGTAAGCAGAGTCCGAACTCACGTCAGCTGGAAGCCAGGGGGCTCTTCTACTTAAATTGTCAGCCAGCAAGCATTTTGAAGGAAGTTCATAAGCCTTCCCCCCTTCCCATCCGTACCTTTCAATCTAAAACAACATGTCGAGCAAAGGCATCGTTCTTGTCACCGGCATCAATGGCTACGTTGGCGGTCGAACCGTCGAGGCTCTGCTCAAAGCGGGTTACCGCGTTCGCGGCACGGTTCGATCAATACCTTCAGCCCAAGCGACTGTCGAAGCATTAGCCGGGTATGAGCAAAACCTGGAGATTGTTGAGGTCACAGACACATCCGTTCTCGGCGCTTTTGACGAGGTTGCCAAAGGCGTTGAGGGCATTGCCCATCTGGCCCAGCCCGTCACCGACAACTTTGGAAGCGATCCGCAACGTGTTATTAGCCAGATCAGAGACGCCACGACGGGTCTTCTGGAGTCGGCTACCAAAGTTGGGTCCGTCAAGACGGTAGTCCTGATGTCGTCGGCCGTCGCCGTGTTCTCTCCAAAGGATCACCCGTACATCTACACCGAAAGGGACTGGAGTGACTCTTGGGTGGAGATTGTGAGACAGATGGGCGCTGAATCGCCTCCAGGACTACCGTATTTGGCAAGCAAGGTAGTGGGCGAGAGGTCTTTTTGGAAGTTCCGGGATGAGAGGAAGCCATCGTTTACCATGACTGCTATCAACCCTTTGTAAGTGCTGAGAGGATTATTGTGCAGCAGAGACCACGTGCTAATAGTGCGATAGTTTCGTTAGCGGCCCGCCCCTCACCACGCCTAAGTCCCCGAGCAACATCTCAAGCTCGTGCATGTTCATCTGGAGATACTTGAACGGCGAAGAACTTGTGGGACCCATGCCGGATTGGGATTACTGGGTTGATGTCCGCGACGTGGCGAAGCTGGTTGCCTGGGCCTTCGACCATGGCGACGAGGCGGACGGCGAGAGGTACATCTCAAAGACGACATGGGCGCCACCTCAAGCGACGGCCGACATTCTTAGGCCAGCTTACCCTACTCTTTCCATAAAGCAGGGTCGTCCAGGCGAGGGTTATTTGCCAGGTTGGAAAACACCGCGGGAGACTGACGTTGATGGATCCAAGGCGCTGAGGGTGATTGGTGGAGACTACGTTCCATATGACCAGTCCGTCTTGGATACGGCAAAATCCTTTGAGCCGCTGATGAGAAAACTTTGAATTCTCCAAAAGGATTTCATTCGGTTCGATCACTGGTATTCCATCTTCTTGTATGTAACATCAACCACCGCACTACCCACGTCCTCCAAAAATACGTACAAGCTCAAGCAACCGCGGATAAAAGTCTGAGTTTCCAAACGATAGTCTCAGAACTTTCATTTTGTCCCCTGTTCTCTTTCTCTTTCCTTGCGCATAACAGCCATAATGACTTGATCTTGTGCCCAGGCAGGTAAGAGGCTGGAGCCGAGCTGTTGCAGTGCGTGAGCCCAGTACCCAACGACTATCCCATTTCCGCGGCCAGATCGTGCCAAAGCTGCCCGGGCCATGGTCTGGGAGTCCGGCGTGAACAGAGATGGAGGCTCTTTGCAGTGTGAAACATCGGTGACCCTCCCTATCCTAACGCCTAACATTTCGACCTGTTTGTCGCCATCATCGAGTCTCAGCTCGAGGCCCACGGCACGCGTCATATTCATGAGCAATTGCTTGCTGGCGCTGTAAGACGCCAGCAGAGGAAATCCTTTGTCTGCCATCGAGCTGATATTCATCACAAGGGCTGGCGCGTTCCTGCGGAGGATAGGTAGAAGCACCCGCGTCAGATGAAGCGGAAAGAGTGCGTTTAAGCTGATGTTGCCGGTGATCCTGGCAGCAGAAGATTCGTTGAGAGGCAAGCAAATCGGATTGACCGCGCCACCCCCTGCGTTGTTGATGAGTACGGTGAGGTTCAAATCACTAAGATCTGCTTGGATGGCATTGAAATCGAGGAAAATTTGCGAAGAATCGCCCGTTGAACTTGGTTGCTCAGACCCAATGCAGTTCATGCATGGCACAGTGCTTGCGTCTGCGATTAATAGCCGGAAAGACAGTTCGGGATGTGTTGCTCGCAGTCGAGATAAGGCGGCAGACAGCTTGGTATGGTTTCGTCCGTGAATTACCACGTTAAACCCTTGCATTGCCAGCTCATGTGCGAGAGCGTTTCCTATGCCATCTGAAGCGCCCGTTACCAGCGCCCAGGGCGCATTGCCGTTCGAGGATGTATGCGCATAGCGGCTCAATCTTGATGGTAGGGTGTAGATGGTGATCAGATTGATAGCCTTGACAACGACAATGCCGATGGTGAAGATACCAACGGCAGATATGATGTTTGATATCCAGTGCGCCATTTAGCCGCCGTCGGGATGGTCACATAGAACAATACTGGAATGCGGTGGGGAGATGATAGAACCAATGATGCCAATGTAGATCTGGCCGGAAGGTCTAAACAATGGTCGATGACGAAGAAAAGAGCTGGAAAAATAGCCCGGAAACATGACTAATTATCCTTAGACTAGGTAGCAGACACTAGCAGTCCATCCCTGCGGGCGGCTAGAGAGATGCAGTCGAGTTGACGCCACCTTGCCAGTTCCCTAGGTAGGTAATTCACTGCAATTGGCGCACACGAACAAATCGTTGATGGCCACTGCGGATAGTGCATACCTACTCGGAGACCGACTGAACCAATCAAAAAACGTCAACCATCTAGAGCAGGAACAAGGGGAGGCGTCTCAACGATCGAAACTACCTGAAGTCGTTCGGTTTTCATACACTTCAAGTCTTTTACATGTGCACTTGAGTGCTTGAGTGTTCTGCTGGAGGAAGCGCGAAGCGGTGAGGTTGGCGCTTCAGCGTGACTGACATGGGAAATCGTCTGATGCAGCCCAACAAAAGGAAAGGTCCACGAAAGATAGTCATTGGCTGTGCCGCATACGCCACTTCCAACCCGTCGTTGGACTAGTAATGGCCATTCGTCTGATACTTCTCGTCACTTGAAAGTTGCAACCAACGGACTCCACTTGTGAACGACGGATGAAGAGTATGGATTCAACGTGATTCGGTTCCTCGGAGCCGATGGAGACATGAAAGAGAGTCGGTGACACAGAAGATGACAGCTGCCGTGAATTCAATTAGATCGATTGGAAGGAGAACAGTAAATAACACTGTTCCCGTTTGAATGTTGTTTCTTTTTCCAAAAGGTTTATCCTGTCGCCAACACCGAAAACACCGGAGCAACGACCAATCATTTGCTTTTTGCCCACGTGGTTACCAACCAGTTCTCTCGTCCAGTTTTTGGGCTTCCCTATTGCCAGGTTAGCCTCGTTTGCTAACATGACTTTTCCACATCAAGCACCTTATATATTCTCAAGTGCACTTCATCATGACACTCTGCACGTTGCTGGCGGCGCCTCCTGATGTCGTCTCGGTGGAGCAGACACCCTCCTTGAAGGAACCGAAACCTTCTCCTTTTCCACAATCGGTTCCCGAGAAGGCAAACCAACCGCAGTTTCCAGGGAGGGCCTGTGCGAAGAACGATCCCGGCTGTGACAGGACGCGACAGTCGAAGGCGCTGATGGTAACGTCGGTCTTTGCCACGCCGGTGCAATCGGTAGATGCAAACGCTTGGAATCTCTCCGCGGCGACGGCTGAGAAAGTTGCGGACAACAAAGCGACGATGTAAGAGGGCTGCATGGTGAGGTTGTGATTGGAATTGAAGGGGGAGTGGGGTTTCTAGTGTGTAGTACTTGTCGTTCAGTCGTGAGTCGTCTATCTTTTTTCTTACTTCGTAAGCGTTTGGTTTGCAAGGGTTGTTCTTGGCAGCTCTGGGAGATTGATTGTATTTATACTTTGGATTTATCACAATCCCGTGAGCAATAATTAGGTAGAGGTAGTGACAGTTGAACAACACAAAATAGAGTTTGAAGAATAGACGAGCGCACCGACGGATTGGACTGGAGTGGGCATGATATGGCTAATTAGCGGAAATTGAGGTCTCGGGCTTGCCGATCGCGGGTGCTGTTTTTGTTCAATTACCTCCCCCTTTTGCAGTTTCGGATTGAATCGGTACACTTAACACTGCGGCATTTCACCAACTGGACGTCTTATTCTTTTTATCTCCATATCTTAAATATCTGACAGTCCAAACGCGTTGTGAGCGCTAGCGCTACTCACACACGTTCTAACGACCGCAACTTGAGAAGTAGATTGCTCACTTGATTCGTAAACTTGCTGGGCAACGCTTTAGCATTTGTGTAACGGCTCAGGGCCGGGAAACATCTCATCTGAAAGGAAAGACACGTTACAGTCACCGTACAGATAAGCATTAGGATAAGGAAGACGATGATATGACAACGAAGATTACAGCGCCAATCATAAGTACAGAACTTAACAACTAGTCGTATAGGCCTCATGCCATCCGGTCAGCTAGAAGTGCCCGCATTCACAGCAAAGCTCAAGATCGGACGATTTGGTATCACCCCAAAATCAATGTGGCAACCCGGCGACGGAACTGTTTCAAACGCCGGGAACAAACTTCTAGTCGACATTGTTGGGTAAGATAGCGTAAGCTTAACTAAGGAAACCTTGATAACAAGAAGTTTACGCAATCGATGTGTTCTTATGCTCTCGAGAGTTACCTTCCTTCCCAATCCTTTGGTCATACAAGGTGAAAAGAATCGTACTCAGCCTGAATCCCAATTCTTCAGACTAAGAGTATTCCAAAATGAATTCATTGAACCAATCCTATCCCCAGCGCCCACTCAAAGTTGCTATCATTGGTGGCGGGCCAGGCGGCCTAAGTGCGGCGATTGAATTCCAGAAGCTGAGCTTCGTGCGCTGGACGCTTTACGAGAAGAAGCCTGCCATCAGCGAAACGGGGGCCGGCGTGAGCCTTCAGCGGAATACCTGGAGACTCTTGGAGTTTAATGGCGTTGCTAAACACTTCTCCGAGGAGGACTTCTTCAGATGTCAGGATGGCTCCAACAAGCACATTCGGTTCGTTTGAAGGCCTTCGCAACCTCTGCAAGCGATTGTGCGGCTAACAACGCTGATCAACTCCAGCAACGGACGCAATGGAGAGTTGATGGATATAATTAGCCACGCCGAAAACACAATTCCTCAGCACCGAACCTGTCGCATGATGCGCAGTAAACTGCAAGCGGCGCTGCTAAAGGAGGTTGACAAATCGAAGATAATGACGTCCAAGTGTTTGGTGTCCGTTGGTTTTGTGGCCGGTGGCAGATGCAGGTTGGCGTTCAAAGATGGCTTCTTCGATGAAGTTGATCTTCTCGTTGGGGCAGATGGAATCAGATCAGTATGCCAACAAGAACCTTCGTCAGGACATTATTAACCCAATTCAGATTGTGAGATCTGTTGTGTCGCCTTCGCACCACCTCGGATACAACGGGCACTTCACCTATCGTATGACGATTTCCCAAAAAGACGCAAAGGAGATTCATGGCCTTCCATGGGCACCTACCTTCTGGCTCGGTAACGTTGGCCACTACGCGTTTACCTGCCCTCTTGGTGGCGATGACTTCGAGGTCACACTTCGCATCCCACGACCCCCTGAAAAGGAGGAATTCGTTAGCTGGGGACGTCCATGCGACCTGGCCCCAATTGCTGAAGACTTCAACCTATTTTGCGATCCAGTAAGGCATGCTATCCGTCTCAGCATCCACGCCCAGTGTCAAGAATTTGCTCTATTCACTGGGAGTAGGCTCGAACGGATTGTTGCCCACGATGCGGTAGCGTTGATTGGTGACGCGTCCCATCCATTGTCTGGGGCATTAGGTGCAGGCGCAGGCTTCGCCTTGGAAGACGTATACGCTCTCGCAAGGTGCTTAAACTGGGCATGGAAGCATAAATGGTCTCTCGGCGTTGCGTTGGAATATTATGATCGCATCAGATCGCCCCATTATCGTGATATCTATCGAGTTCTGGGCAGAGTCAATGAGACTGAAGCTGCTGTAGCAGCCGAGGACCTCGATATAGACGCGGAAGTCAAAGAACGAGTCAGAAGGACTGACGAAGCCAGAGCTAACTGGGTATACTACTATGAAGTAGACAAAGTAGTCGCACGTACTTTGAAGGACCCTGAGTTCATAGTTGACGCAAGGCTTTAGGGGCCCGTACGAAGTTGCGGTTTGGATTTGCTTGGCAGAATTCAGTACTTAGAATGACGTATAAAAAGTAGAAAAAGCTAGTTAAGAGTTGAGTGTAAGATTCGAATTCATCAGTCGATTCCCCCAGTGGGATTGGAGGTCTCACTCGTTTGAAACTTACAACCAGATCAATCTTTCATATACTTTATTGTATACTGGAGTCCCGCCTTGTGCTAATGCTCGAGCCAATTTGGAGAGGCCCTTCAAACCGAATTGTCACCGTTTTTGGCCCGGCGCTGAATATTCGGCTCTTAGCTTGTGTAACCGCAGATAGGTGGGCTGTGGAATACCGAGATTCACAAAGTCGTGTAACATCAGCAGCAACAATGGACCCGCGGATTGATCGAGAGATCAGGAGGCGACGGGAGATACGTACCTTACTTCCCACTGCTGGCCTTATTATCTGCAGAAGCTATGTTCAATGAAACTCTAGCAGTAATCATAACCTGTTCCTATATGCAATTCTGCTGTCCATCAGGTGCTATATGCCCTCCTTAACGACAATGTGCCTCGGGCAGCTGTGTGGTGTTAGCTCAATGGAGTTCCACTGGATTGAGGAGATTCTTTCCTATACTCGGGGCCTCGGTGATTGCAAGGCGGCGTCCACCTTTACTTCTCCTCCATCCGTTATGCCACCGCCGCTGCCTCCACCTCAAAGCTGGAGTGTGTTAGTGAGCCAGTTCCGTGAGTTCATGCGGCTCTTTCTCAGCATCCCCTCAAAACATCTCACCTTCATCAACGTCCAGCTATGGTCGTTCACGTCGAGCCGGCTATGCCTGTCTGTCAACTCGTTCCTGAACTTCGAAGATGGCAGCAAACTGAAGGACCAGCGTCTGATGGCAGGGGCTGCAATAGTGCTGGGTGACATTATGGATCAGACGCAATCGGCAATTGTCTCCAAGGTTCTCGAAGTTAACATGGAGTTTAACTGGCATTTAGTACTACTAACCACTGATCTCGCAATGTCAGAATTACCCTTTCTGGCCAAGTGACTCTCGTATCAGTGACAACTTGAAGTTCATTGCATGTAGTCAATATCCAAATATTTCAGTGCTCAGTGCGGAAATGCTTCCCTTAAATCGGCCATCTTAGGCAGGCGTAAAGCGTGCATTGCCGTTTTCGCGAGAAGCATGTCATTTTTCATGACCTCCAAGATTCGTACCGAGATTAGCCGGACAGGATTATACCAATTAACTTTGAAACCTCGCACCGTGAGGTTCCGCAGAACACTAGGATCTCTTACGTGATTAGGAGGTTCCGCGCATTGCAACTCACAAAGGGGGGGAGGGGGGGTCACTTCCTAAGCTACCGGGAAGCCAAGTGAAAGAACCGTGATGTTCAAGTTCGTACAAACCGCGAGATAAAACGATATGACACCAGACAATCTTTCTCGTCTAGTGCGTCTATTTTCCTCAAGTACCACTCTCGATACTTTTGAACATTGCTTCATATGTTGCATATTCCCAAGCCTGACGTATTAATACGTAGGCTAAAGGGCGTTTGATTTCGAAATGAGCATCAAGGCGAACATCACTTTTTTCACTGAGGGAACCCCCAACGGCCTCAAGCCTACCATCCTGCTGGCGGAGCTTGATTTGGAACACAAGGTGAGGAGATATAACCACGTAATACGTTCCACATGACACGAGAAACAGCTGGGAGTCTCAAATTTATGATATTTCTGCACCTCGTCACAATCGACATTATTGCCCAAGAGAACAAGAAGCACTGGTTCCTCAAGATCAACCCCAACGGCCGGATCCCGGCCATGACTGATGTCGATGGACTTGGCAGGGAAATACATGTCTTCGGGAGCGGTGCTATTCTGGAATACCTCGTGGCCCGTTATGACAAAGACAACAGGGTCTCGTATCCGTACAACTCTAACGAGTACTCAAAGACACCGGGAACACCAGGAAAGACTTCTGGCAGTATCTGCGTGTTCGTTAAAAGCATTACCTTATCGTCCGATATCGCTCAAGAGTATTTAGTTGGCCACCTAAGTCGCAGCTTGATTTGGCATGAAAGAGGAGTGCGAGAGTAAGAATGGAGAGGTGAAAGCAGCATGATGGTACGGCCTTCAGCTTGTATTTATCCGTTGCCATTCAAAAAGGGTGTTTCGCTTTGGTGGCATTGTAACCGACTACTTGCGTACTGATAGTAACTCACACCAAAAGTTGCATGATTGGGGACGTGAAAACGGAGACCATGATTGAGCCTACACATTTGCTTTCGGTAAGATCACTGCTTTATTCGATACTTAGAACAAAACCTGTGAACATATCACCGGTATCATGGTCATACACTTTCAGACTTGATTCTTTGAGTTTAGCCACAGGCTTGGGACATCTATTCCCTGTCTGGTCGTACATATTGACTACTACCCATGCGTTGGCGATGAATTCGGAGCAATGGTTAATGGCAATCAGCGCGTGAGGCATGGGAAGGACCTCCAACTAGCTCTGGCTTCTATGCGCGTCGTGTTGTCAGTTGAATAGGATGAAAAGCGGAGGTGTGGGTGTCGCAATTCGGAACGACCTTTTTGCACAACTGCGAAAGCGACCGCGACGTATGTATTGCAACAGCGTCGCGCAAGAACCAGTCCCCTTGAGCTTCTTCGCTTTGTGTAAATTGTGCAAGCTGATCTACGTCATATTTCGCTCTAAGCGGCTGGATTGGGAGAGACCGGGGACGTGACTTCGGGCCCTTATTCGGGAGATTGCCCAGCCTCCTCCGTCGGGGTCAGGCGGATTCCATCTTATTCGGTTTCGGCTTCTGCGGTAGTGCTCGTATCCGTAGCGTAGTTCATCTGAACCTAAATCTGTACTGAGATGGGACCACTTGTCAGCAGGGGCTTGTAACGTCTCCACCGACACCCTTGTGACATCGTTTTCGGATTCGGGTCAGCTTGAATCTTCGTTGATGCTGTGTTAACGCAGAGCTAGATCATAAGGCCCTTGGCCATGCACCGCAGACATCTTGCCCAAGTGCCTTTGGTATCTCTTAACAATATTCACACCCGCCGGTCGTAATGAGTATGTTCATTCCGCAAGTTGAAGCCACAAGGTTATAGGGATTGTTAGATTTCAAACCTAGTCAAGATTTCTTTGATTCTCATTCGCTGGTGCTGCAGTACGCCGAGGTAGAATGGCCGTCATAAACAAGCATCATCGCAGTATTATCTTTCGCGCCCTAGAAGGTTTTGACATACAACTTACTACCGCATTTCTGGAACCATTCTTTCGTTCTAATCATACTACTAACTGAAAGACAATCGCTACCTAAGTTGTTCGTTAACTCCTCGCGAATAAATCAAAAGGGCCAAACACGTTTCCCATCTCATGCTCCTGTGGCCCCAATACCTACAGCAACGTGACGGTGAGAGATGAGAAAGAAAACGACTGGTACTCCCCATCCTCGTTACCTAAAGACTCAAAATGCACTTCTCCGGTGATGCCGGAGTCTACGTGGGGCTTTAGGAACTTGACAGGGGGTTCCCACCGACGAAAACCCAGCGACGCTCCTTTACCAAACGGTCGCGGTCGCGAGATTAAGGTTGATAAATAATACAATAGCTTTTTGATCATGATTAATATATGCTGGGCGGTATACATGCCAGTAGGAGATCAACGCACAATCTGATTCAAGACTCCGCGTCTAGCAACTATAGACTTTCTTCTGGCCCCTTGCAATTCCCATACGGGTAAACGGCGGGACCTCTTGTCAAACGAGAAACTCTATTGATAGATTCCCCTCACCTTTTAACTTGACTTTCACAAGTCCTTAGGACTATCCTAGTTGCTGTGGCTCTGCGTGATGACAGACTTCAAATGGGTAGTTCTACGAATATATAAAGCAGTCTAAACCTGTCAACACATCCACAAACTACGAGACTCGAACACTTCCAACTACCACAACCACATCAACGGAGACATTTCAAGAAAGAACGACAAAATGAAGCTTCAAACCGCTCTCGCCCTCCTCTTTGCCTCCGTGGCCATTGCAGTTCCAGGCCAGGGCCAAGCGGGTAGCAATGTGCTTGCCCGCAACCCTCAGAGGGGTCCTGTGCGCCCATCTGGAAACTGCTGCTCGTACATCCCCGGCACATGCAATTGCGGTTGCGTAAGTACTCTCAAGAGTTTGCACAATAGTGATCTTCGTATGCTAATTTCAGTGTTACAGTGCTCAGGTGTATGTGATGGGTTGAGGAGACAGCTGTCTCGCACTCCTTCTCTTCCTTTTCCTTTCTCAGATTGGTTTAAGACTAACACATACACACTCAGGGTCCTTGCGCCACCAACGACGATCCCAATGCTACCTGCCCTTAGACTGAAGAGGTTTTGATTCCACTGTCCTATTGAATGTGTGAATAGCCCATTGAGCTTTTGCCTGGATGGGGTTTGCATGGAAACTAGGCAATGGTTGGCAAAATCGCGGGAGTGAAGGTTCTATTTTTGCCTGCGTGTTTTTGCGTGGTGCAGGCGGGAACAGAGTCAATGCACGGTCATTTGGAGGATCATCCAGCATTAGCATTCAGCCCAATTGCCTACCAACGGCTCGAAGATAAGAATAAACCTTTAGCCTCCCGAGTCTGTCATACATATCTCCACACATTATGCCTCCGCGACACTGTCGGCCGTTATGAGGTGACTAAAGCTTTAGTGCATTAATGGCCTAGAGAGTTGGCATCTAGGCCTGGGTAAGATCCCCCTCGTCTGTAACAGCAACACAGTCATACCCACCTTAGTTTCCCTCATTCCTTACGCCAACAAGCAATTAAGGCGGCAACCTGTCATGGTGACTTAAAATTCATTGTAGCTTCCCTCCGTATCCAGAAAACGCGCTTGATTTTATGAGCTTGGGAGAGGTACTCCGTACATATCAGTCCTTGCGGCCTTGGAAGTCCAGCAAACCTTACTTGCGCCACAATGCTGCCAGACAAAGACATCAACGGGCGAGAAACAAGTGCTGCCAGCATTATGTTGCTTGCAGAGCCCACTCGACTCATCACCGCCAACCCATCCGTCGTCAGTAGCACCGTGCACTGTTCCTTCAATAGCGTGATACTATCTCCAATTAGTAGCGTACTGGTACTCGAGGAGGAACGCTTACGTATGAGCCATCGTGGGGGGCATTGTGGAGTCCGATGTACCACCAAGCTTCACCTATTGGAGACTGTAAGAGAAGATCGGAACTACCACACAAATTGTTGACTCACTATACACAAATCGTCCATCAGAACCATTGACAACAGCCTTTGTGGCTTCATCGTCAATGATCATGCCTGCAGGAGGCTGATCTCTGACACAGGCGCACAGACGGTGCTTATCAGCATTGGCAACAACCGCCCTGCTTGAGACTTAGTACTTGGTCATCTAGCAACAGGGACGTTACTATACATTATGAGGACTGCCAGGAAGCTAAAGGACTTTGCCATTGCTAAGTTCGAGTTTGAACAGGCAGGACTGGTTGTGTGAAGACGGCGATAAAATGAAGATGGTTCGATTGTTACATGACACCGATCGAGGTAGAGGAAACCCATCGAGCTTTAAAGGTTTATTAGGAGCACTCTATACCGCAGAAAATCAGTCAAATCAGTACTTCTTTCTCCGGCAACCGTCAATCGGTCTGCCCGATATCCCGCCGGCTGCTGCAAGGCTCCGAAGCCCCTGTGCCGGGCTAGGCTAATTAGCATAATGATTGGCCCTACGAAGTAGCCTTCTTTCGACCAACGAGAAAATCTAAGAACTCCAGAATTAGGGTAAAACTGGGTCATGTCGTGGCTAAGACCTTCTTGCAGCCGGTGGGATGCAAGCAGATGGCACAGCACCATCAAAATGGCCGATCCGACGGTTCTATCTCACACTTACCCAAGCACCTTTGGAAGCAGGTGAAGTTCCTGTCATTTCTCCAACCAAAGAAGCCCCCCGTACGTGTACTGCTGGCTTGGAGTTTGCGCCCAGAAAGCACATCAAAATGGCCAGGGGGTGGCTCAATTCTTAAGGGTACTTAAGATCTTCGAGTCAAGAGCAGTAAGAAAGGGTAGTGGGGCAATACCGAGCGTATTCCTGGCCGGCGATCACTGCACTATCCAAACTGTGCCCGCGCTATACCCCTGTATTGTTACGCAGCACAGAGAAATGCTCGATGACCGACCGACGCAGCTCTTCTGTCTTGGTACTGAATCCTGAAGGAATGAACTTATTGCCCAGCCCAGTTTTAGCAGTCTTTGCCATGCCCATCATCGCGTGCTCACCAAGGGACCAAATAGGTAGTCAGTTGATCAGTCCTGCCAGAGGTACAACATAGTTTCATGAACATGCGGGCAGCCCTGCGGAACGGTTTGCCCACGTTCCCACCGTATGCAACCGTTGAAAGCGCCGAAGATTATGTTCCGGGGATAGCAGGGGAGACATTCAATGGGAGTTGCTTGACCGACATGAGATCCACATTATCTTCAGTCGTCGAAAACCAGTAAGATAGGTTACGAGATACGATGGGAACACGAGAAGGAAAGGGCTACTGAGAAACGGAAAGATTAAAGGAGATGAGTCAATGATACCCGAATAGGTTGTGAATCTGAAATGTGATCAACAAACCTCAATCCCAAACAGAATCTCCAAGTTCGTTATTTTCATAAATTTGACAATGCAATGACTTTACGTGCTTTCTAGATGACCCATGCCCTGGAGAAACCATTGGGGAAGAGAACACCCCCATTATTGCTGCGTCTGTGAAGTCTGATGAGAGTGCCGGATTCGAAAAGGATGTGACTTGGTTCATCTCGTTAAACGGCGGCTGGGCCATCCTCATTTCAGTCGATTACGTCTGTCTACCATCATCAGGCGTACGCCTTGAAATAGACGATTTTACAACATGAACGCAGTTTATGACTTAAGCTGTTCGTCAATTCGGTCCAGTGTGAGGGTCTTCTGACCGTTGAACTCCGTTGAACTCCGTTGCTTCTGAGGGCGGTAAGCAGCGGGGACTGCTTTGAGTAGAGTTCATTTAAGTCATACTTTCCGCTCTAACTTAACAAATCCCTACTCAAACTATCGCACAATCACAACTCCTCGGGACCTTACTCCAGGGTCTCAGGGAATGGACCATATTAGTGACATAGGCGGCTATGCACTCCTCAATCAGTCAATTCTAACCACCCGTCCTGGCTGAGTTGTAAGTGACATCGGAGCCTCCGGCGGGTTTGGGGGTGAGCGACCAGATACTTTGGGAGTTCATTTTCGCGGGGTTTCTCTGCGAGGAATCGTAGTAGGAAACAGGCAAATGTTCCGAAACTTGGTCGAGTTTATAGAGGGGAAGAACTTACAGCCGATGGTGGATGATGTGACGTTTGCGCTAAAAGATTTGAAGGCAGCAATTGAGGGGCTTCGGAAGGGGGAGCACGTTTGCAAGATTATTCTTCTTTCTTCCGGCTTCAGTTCATTACTCTCGACTCACATGTTGCAGAGACGTCAAACTTTTGACTCGGCCCGCAGCCTTCCTAACGGCCTTTAGATGATCACTGACAAACCCTAAACGCAACACCGAGGATTGTCACCGCTTGGGGTATGCTTACACATCAGTTTGACCCGGCCCTGACATAACCGGCGTAATTGGCGTAACTGGCCTAACTGGCGTAAGCATGTCAGCCTCACCCTCTCTTTACCCCGCCTTCCGTGGCAAGAATACATAGTATTTATATTAAGCCGGATATTCACAGTAAAACAGCAGCATGAATGAATTCACCATTGGATTGCTACCTGATTGTACATTTGCTCCAATGGCCCCCGCCACGCCTTTTCCCCATATCCCTTCCGTTGGCATTGTCGCTCCGGTGTCGGATATATGCCAAAAAGCTTTTGACTTTTGTAAAGAGAATTGCGACACAGCTGTCCTCAATCACGCGGTTCGAGCGGCCTACTGGTCGATCATTATCTCACAGAAGCACCCAAACTTCAAAGGTGCGGAAATTGACATGGAAGTCGTTGTCTTGAGTTGCATTTTGCACGACATGGGATGGTCGGAGACGCCAGAACACCGCTCTGCAGACAAAAGATTTGAAGTGGATGGAGCCAATGTTGCCCGCGACTTTATCAGAAATCATGACAGTGGTACAGAAGGCTCATGGACCGAAGTCAGAATCCAGCGATCTTGGGATGCGATTGCATTGCACGCGACACCGTCCATCGCACGACATGCTGCGAAAGAAGTTGCACTAGTGCAGATGGGTGTGCTGGCGGACTTCTTCAGGCCGAGGACTCATGAAGTGGCCGGTGGTCCAGAAGATTTGATCACTGCGGATGAGTATCATGCCGTGATGCGGGTGTTTCCCAGAGCTGGGTTTGACGGACAAGGCCTGAGGAAAATACTGTGTCATCTTTGCCGTACGAAGGCCGACACCACGTTTGATAACTGGGTGGGTGATTTTGGGCTTACCTATGGAGCGGATGGAGAAGGAGAGAACGTGGAAGAGTACAAGCAGGGGTGGGATAAGGCACGGTCGGCCTCGATGTTGACGAGCGCCTTGGAGTCCTTAGTGGCCCTCGATAAGAAAGGCTAGAGTACAACGAAGAAGGCTCTCCGACTCGGAAGCCGATTGTACATGTGCAAGGCGACATTTTCATGCTCCTGCTTCTAAGTCGTCCATGTCGTCCATGTCGCCTCCAGCCAGCTCTAGTCATCTCATTACTGTCAATGGCATGGACAGCTCTGTCCCAAGGCAGGTACCAAGACATATCCAGTTGTCATCAATTACAGGTCGGGAGGCACCCTTGGAGTTCTTTAGACTACAGCGCCTGCACAGGTAAATACCTATCATCGTTGCGATCAAAATGGATAACAGCCGTATACTGAACGTATAATAGAGTACGTCTCAGCAGATCAAGCTACTTCGAAGTGTTTGAAATTGAATGCTTCTCTGGAGATCCAAAGAGATGAAGTGATCGTGCCAGATCCAAGTACTTTGCCAGCTTAAGAGATAATCTAGTACTTCAACTTGGTCACAAGCTTCCCTGTGTTTCCTCCCGAATACAGCATCATCCAAGTGCGTGGTATCTCTTCAAAAGCTGCCTCAACAACCATTTCACTCTCATTGTCAATGACAATAGTTCCCTTCTTCCACTCATCGAGGAGAATGGCTCGAACCTCAGGCAGATGCTCAACCCAGTCAAGGTTGATAAATCCCGTGATTTGCAGACGCATTGCAATTACCTCCTGTAGTTGGGTCAGTACGAAAAGTCATTTAATAGGGGATATTACACGCACGAAATAGTTCTTCAAACCAACAGCATTGCCGTCACGATTGTAGTTGGAAATAGATCCACTAGGATGATAAGTTAGACTTCGCGATGAAGTAAGAAAGTGATTATGCCATTTTGACAACTCACCAAGCTGCGACTCGGCCAAATTTGGCCAGCCTGGTCAGCATAAAGTCCAGAATCTCGCCCCCAACGTTGTCTGGACTCAAGTCAGTTACGAGACCTGCAAGCCTTAGATGGGAACTAAGAATATACCGAAGTAGATTTCCACAAATCCCTCAGTCTCTTTCGTGAGCCGCTGCTTGAAGGCGTCGGACTTGTAGTTCAGGCAGATGTCGGCTCCTAGCTTCTCGACCCAGCGACACTTTTCATCGCTGCCCGCAATTCCAATCACCTGTGGAACACGAAAGGTCAGTCAATTGGTACATCCCGATTATGAAAAATGGAGCATGGCGAAACATACCTTGCGACATCCGATCATCTTCTTTGCAATTTGAACTGCCATTGTACCCACGGCGCCTGCCGCCCCGCTGATGACAATCGCCTCTCCCTTCTTGGCCTTCACAATCTGCGTAAGGGCGTAGTACGCCGTATGTCCAGGCAGACCCAGTGCGCCAAGGAAGTGTGTGATAGGTAAATCATGCTGAGGCTCAATGATCGCAACATTCTTGGCGTCGTCGATTGAGTATTCGGTCCAACCAGGGTTACCGGACACCAGGCTCCCCACAGGAACATCGGAGCTGCGAGATTCGACAACCTCTGCGATGCCCATGGACTTCATGACTGCGCCAACATCCACAGGCGGCAGGTAAAGACGCTCTGGAGTGGCGGAAGGGGAGATCCAGGTACGTTGAGCAGGGTCATTGCTGAGGTATTGAGTCCTTAGAAGAACCTGACTATCCCTGAGAGGGGGAATATTGGCTTGGGACGGGACAAAGGTTGACTTGTCTCCTTCTAGAATCGGTTCGCCGAAGGGCTTCTCACGCAGAAGCCACTGCCGGCATGCTCGTGGGGTGCTCATGTTGAGTTTGTTGTGACTTGCAAAGTAGATAGCTGATGACTATCAAGGACAGTATGTTGAGGGCGCCGGAGAGCCGCAAAGAATTTATAGTTGTCGGAGGGAGTGCTTTGTCATGTTGCACGACAATACTTCACAACCGATCATCGAAACTACAATTAA